TCATCTTATGAATCAAAAAAAAAAAATTTTGTTCAGTAAAAAGATTCGCTTCAAGAAATTGAAAGACATAAAGAAAATAGAACAGAGGCATAACAATAAAATCCTAGAGAGAAAAAGCAACATAAGTTGGAAAAAAAAATCGTAGAAGCAAGGAGGTGCACCGGAAATCGATAGCCGCAGAGCTATTCGCCGTGGAAATAGTGATAGAATTAGAAGTGGAAAGTAACCCGAAAGGCCCAATAGAACTAAACACATCACCCATATAAAGAAGTCACCTGTGCTCTAGGTCATTTCCTTTTTTGGATAAACTTTCTTTGTACATATTAGTCCTGAATATAGAGCAACGACTAAGGCGAATGTTCTGTATTCACTCAAACATGTGCGTAGCCATGGCTACTTGAACTGATGAAGTGTAGTTAATTACGGCGAAGAAAAGAACGATAGAAGGGGATACGGTATGGGAAGAAACTGTGTGGTTCATTCCAAGTAACAGGAAATTTTACATACGTGAATACGCACAACAAATAAAACTACCTTCTGCCGGGTATTCAGATGATGTGAAAGAGATGCACGCTTTGCCCAGCGAAACATAACAATTTCACTCGCCATTGAATTCAATGTGAATTTCACAACCCCCATAAAAAGATTGAAATTGCTCCTCATTTCCTATGCAAAATGTATTGATAGCCTGTTATCTGTGGGACGCAGACGCTAGCCCGTGCGAAAGCTGGTTGCGAAATAAGTTGAACAAAGAAGGGAGAGGAAATACTCATGTAGAAGAAAAGAGAGGAGTGAGGGGGGGGGGGGAAACTAGTAGCGAATGATAAAAGTGAATACTCTTCACACTGTTCAGATAACTTCGACAGGTCCACTCGAAACATGGAAACAAAGGAACAATTCTCTCGGACCAACATTTCCAAATTTCCGGCTCCAGGATGAAATCTGTCGATAACAACCTTTCCATGTTCTGGTCTTAGAGTGCAACATAGCAGACAACGTCCAGCAACAATCTCAGGGACGTAACCAAATAATCCCTAATCGCAACCCGAAATAGATACCTTACAGAGTTTTAATGAAGACGTCTAAGAAAGAGCACCACTTCATTACACTTGAATTGATAATGACCTATTGGGCTGTTTTCGAGGGGAAGATAAGATAAGGTACATAAGAGACGTCGTTTACGCTCACTGATAAGAAATAAATAAGAACAAGTGTCAATTAAGGAGCCCTCAACGTGAAACCGTATTTTGATCCGTTGGAAAAGAGGTAGCTATAGGAGAGCCAAGGCTCCAAATGAATGATAGGAATTTTTTTTTCAAGTAAGTTTTTGTCGTTGCTCGATCTCGATTGGCAAACTTTTTCGTGAACAAGTATGAACCTTAGTTTGGAAGAGATTGATCTTTCAGGTAGTTCCCCAATTGACAAAATTATAACAAAGTGAAACTTCGGAAATGAGACGAAGATTTTGACCTAACAAGCACTAATTAAGGGACAAATACCAGAAAATAGGACAATTAAGAAGAGGGAAAGCACAGAAGTATGCAGAAACTTGCTGCTTAAATCAAAAGCGTTGGACACGCTATACAACTTATCGCTAAAAATGCAGCAAAGTGGGGTCGAGAGCGTTATTATACTATTTGCGTTCACAATTACGAAGCCTACGAAAAGAGAAGCTGACCGCCCCTCAAATGATGGTTCAAAGATCACCGGACGCCGGAGAATATGCAACGGGCTCAAGGACGCATTGAAATAAACATCTCTTTACAAAATGCAAAACTGGCACAGACAACACCCGTTAGTTAATGTGATCAAATCAGCTGAGGAGGACCAAATTGCAAGAGAACTTCAAAAACCAACGCACGAACAATAAGCTAAGCGATACACTTCCTTCCGAATAGACAGCCTACTGAACTGTCCAAGAGACAAAAGAAAATGTTATCTGCAACGGCAAGGCGCTCGACGCTCTTTAGTCGCGTCTAAGATGACGAACTATGAAGGTCAGAAAAGAAACAATCTGATGATTCAGACTCGAAGTGCTTGGTTCAACGGACTGCCAAAAAACAATATATGCGAAATGTCAGGACTTTGCCCTTCCTATGCAGGTGAGCGAGACCAGAAAGAGTGATAAACAAAACAAAGAAACAAAACAACTCAAAAAGTATCAAGGGCAGTCGGGGCCAATGGGGAGATAACCCTGCGCAGAGATGGAGATCTTGAACACTCAATAGAAGCTCTCCAGTTAGGAGAATTGAACGTCGAAATAGAAAAAATGGGATTGGAAAAGTCCCAAGACCGGAAAAACAGGCCTCGAGTGCGATTTCGGAATTTACGATAGCTGCCGCTCCGATCCACAGAAACCTAATTAACCTCGCCCTGAACGCCTGACTTCAGTAGTGAGCAAAAGCCGCTGCCGTTGCGCAAAAATCGCCTTCAAAGTTCCGCAAACAATTAAACATTGCGTTCGTTAGACCAATGAAACAGCTGGATCTTTCCTTATGTCATTTTCCACCTTCTCGACAGAGGTCGCAAAAGTTTTCCTGGAAATTCAGGAAACCGGTTTTCTCTACAATCTTTAAACCACAGTAGAATCCACATCATCATGAAAACTTTTTCCCAACACTAATAGAACGATGTTTCGTAAGCCGCTCATCCGCAGCTGTTCGTCGCTTCTTCTTCTTATTCTTTAGCGTCTGTCCCGCTTGTAAGCGGGGTCCGCTTTTCTTATGTGTTGACGCCACTTTTCCCGATTAAATGCTTGATCGGGGTGGATATTAACTGACTTCAAGTCTACGTGCAATGTATCGAGCCATCGCTGCTTCGGGCGCCCCCTAGGCCGCTTTCCGGGCACGTCAAGGTTGGCACTAGTTCATTACCTAATCGAACCAAACCTCCTTGTAATTATAGCTTTCTTCATGTCTGTCTGGGAATTGTTAATGAAAGAATTCGAACTTGAGAGAACAGGAAAGCTATCGAACCCCACCGTAACACTCGAATGGTCCAAAGACCCACTCAGTACTGTTTATACATTCACACGGAAAACAATGACGTATCGCAACAATGGAGTGTTCCAATTGGCGGAACAGCAAGAACAACGACGAGGTGACAAGAGTGGATTCAATGGGACAAGTGAAAGCGAGTCGCAGTCACTGAAAGAAAAAGGAATTGTTGTGGAGATTGCACGTGAAAAGCAGGATAAGAATCTACGACGGCAAAAAATACTTAGAAATATTGCATAACTCGGCCTCCAATCAACGACTAGAAAGAATTTGGGTGTGCTAGGAGCCGGATGACTTTGTCAGGGACCAAAAAGAGTGTAGTTGCTCAATGTGATTACTCGGTAGGACAATTAGGTATCTGTCATGTGTGGACACCATAAGCTTCAAGCGCCAAAACGCAGGAAAGAGAAGACGTGGGAACTGGAGGCCCAAACCGCCAAGCGTATAGCTCGGTGACCGCCCTAAGTAAATAAGGGCAGTATGATACCAACTGGCCTACCCTAAAAGAATAGAAGGTTGGCTGACCTGAACAAGACTTGATCCGGGCAGTCGATCCATGGACGTTGAGTGAGGTGGCGGCACCCGCTTACTACCTCCGCCGAAACCGTGGCTCCGCTCGAAGCGGAAAGGTACTCATTCGAAACAGTGTAAAACCAAGATGTCTGTACAGCAATGGCGAGTATCGCGCGCCTGACAGGGTGAAAGTTAAGCCAGACAGTGACAATTTACGTGGCTTGCCAAAGCTATGTACTTTTGTGGCATCGTTTGCGGGAACTTTTTTTTGGCAGGGGTCCCGCAACGCACCTGTGCAAAAGCCCTGCAAACCCAAACTTGTTGCTCTTTGCGCCCAAAATGCAACAGAAAAATGCATCTACACTATACTTAACAGCACTAAAGTTCGCACAACCCCAAAGAACTCAACTAGAGGGAAACGAATCGGAGATCTCCTGGAGACATATCATTCCACTTGGTCCATTTCCATAACGCCATATAAAGAGAGGAGAAAATCTATCGAAGAATGTAAAGTAGAGTAAGATGAATACCCTCAGCTCTATTGTAAACCTGAGAAATTAATTCATCACACTTAAAATCGAACTCCATTGTAAAAAAAAGGTGAAAAAGGTGCGACTTCCGACATATAAAAACTCTTACCGACAGAATGACAGAGAATGTCGGCATGGAAATGCGATCAATAGAAATCACAAAAGAGGGCGAAACGGATCATAGGCGTTGTTGACGCCTCTGTTGGGAAATAGTGCAGACCCTGCGGAGTGACTTCTCCGCGAAATCTGCCCTATTTCGCGGCGCTGTACAAAAGATAGAAGAGGGACTGCAAAATGGAAATGTGAGGAAGGCCAACAAGATGACCAAGACAAAGCGCAGATGTCAAGGAAATGCCAGGATGAACTATGAACACCTTATATTCAGAGAAGCACGTCTCGGGTACTTTGTTTTTTGCTCTCATAAGCGCTCCCTCCTAATCAGCATCCCATGAAATTTCACCCCACTATCCTTCACACATTAAAGTGTAAATAACGTTGGCGAAGTATTTTTTGACACGACTCAGAGAGAAATAGTAAACAAGACCTGCACAGTACTTGAGATGTCGAGGGAGATGAGCAATCTCAAAAGTGCAGTTCAAGACGCTACACTGGGACCTGATCAGAGAAGGTATTGATTTGAAGTTTTCATTCGACATAAAAATATCATGAAGAGGGTTGGCGGCTACTGAGACTTTTAAAACACGAAAAATGTGACGAGTAAGCAATTTGGACGCTATCAGACTCTTTCATAGCGGCGCACGTATGGTGCCACAAAGCCGCTACAACGCAAGATCAGCCTATTGCACAACGGTGAGACGACAAATGGCGCAACAGATAAGCCGTGGTTCAACGTCCATTCAAGCACTGTGATGACATTAAATGAAATATTTACTGAAGAACCTCGGCAGTATATAAACAAGGAAACTTGATGAGAGCAGCACAGGGGAACAGTACAAAACAATTATGAGTCTTTTTCAGACTCTAGATTGATACGATCGCCAAATTTGGCGTACAGTGTCCTCTTCAAAGTCTCCATTTCCTTCTGAGAAGATTCATTTTGAGCCTGAAAAGAAACACCAAAAACTTGCAGAAAGGAAAATTTCCATGCAACAGCTCCCAAGTAGGCTCACTTTCATAAAGGATTTGCAAAAAAAATCCTCCAGATAAAAAACTCCTCACCGTGAGCTCCTTAATCGTATTTTCCGTAGTTTCTTTCAGCTGTTCGAGTTTTGTAGTCATTGTGTCCTGAATATGAACAATATGAAAAAAAAAGGAAAACAGTTTCGTTACTTGATCAGCATATTAGATCCAAGAACTAGTGAAGAATAAGTGAAAGAAACGAATCTGGTTACATCAAAAAATCAGTGTGATGCGTAAAAGTGGAGGGGGATTGTGCATCTAATAGCTTCATAGATGAGCGGCTGCATGAACCATACCTTGTGCTGCTGTAAATTACTTAAACCGTTGTACGAATACCGACTAGATCCCTTGGAGGCGTCAAACGAACACCTGGACGACCGCCGGCCCGATGGTCAGACTTCTTCACGAAAGCTCTGAACGAAAGGAATGAAGGCTTCGTGTCCCTCGAGCGAGGAGGATCCACTGGACCACTCTAGCACGCGACAGGGACGAATGGAGACGTTGCTGGCGCCCGCTCGAGCAATTCGATGATCAACGGGACGACAGGTGATACAGGTGATTCAAGTTTGAGACGATACCAGAGGGGGGGGGAGGTGGGAGGAGTGGGAGAGAATGCAAAAGAGCAAAGATAATCACTACAACTGAGTAGCGGAAGTATCATGAGCAGATCGGTGCCCCCTATTCTGCTGAATTAACTTATCAGACCTGGGGCCGAGGTGCAGCAAGCCCCAACGAGGGGATGGGGACCCATCCCCTCACCCCAAGGTTGGGGATATATCCCCAAGTTGGGGATATATCCCCGGTTTCGTCACAGGACCCATCATTTTTCGATGGGTCCTATGACGCGACCATGCGAAACGGTCACTGCCGTCGACCCTTGCGTCTCCGCCGGCAGGCCCATCCCCTCGTTGGGGCTTGCTGCACCCGGCCCATGGGCTAATCCAGAACCAGTGTCAAGCGTCGCGTTGACGGTGATTTCACAATTTTTACGGGCACCTCACTCTTACGATGTTTCGTACTCAGGATCAACCGTCCGCTCTTCCAGTTCCAGTAATATGACAGCCTTAGGGAGGTCCCTCGATACGGCCCCTCACGAACCCCGATCACCACCCTCACCATCAATGCGGTTTCTAACCTACAACTCCTGCCTCTGACTATCTTAGCAGTACCGACACTGGCCATGTAGAAAGCCTTTCAATCCTGTAAAGCCTTTCTAGAAAAGAACTGCACTTATAGGAGACTAAGCCTCCCCATACAACGCACACTTTTGCCATCAACCTTAACTGAAACCTCTTGCACTGGCAACCGTGGATTTTCTGTTCGTAACATGGTATCGCAATGATGAGCGGCGCAGAAGTCAAATAAAGTTATCATCAAATCACCACCAACCTCATGTCACTACAAAACAATAATGCCTTCAGTTAAAACGCAAAACACTGAATTAGAATCATCTCAAACAAAAGCCGATTGGTTCCGCAAAATTCCGTTAGAGCAGTCATGGGGCTCAAATGAAACATTATGAAAACCTACAAAAGGAATGGTACTACAAGAACTTCAATAAAACACTCACACTATCGAAGTGAACGAATGTTTGTCCAATCTTAAAGGGGATCGAGTCGCTGTCTTCGGGGTCCAACAGCATGATTTCGTCTGCAGCTTCGTTAATGTTCAGTAAGTCATTTGAAAGCTCTTTGATTTCTTCCTGCAATTCGCCAAATTTCTTTTGCGGCTTTTATAGTTTTTTCTTCTTGCGCAGATTCTTTTCGGCTTTGAGCCATAATAAGACACAACAACAGCAACATATGCTTGTATGAGACAACTGATATTTAAATATATATATATAACAATAAAATCATGTCAACCTTTTAGATTTCCTATCAACTCGTCACAAATCGCCGGATTTTGCTGAACGTATACCAACAGTAGCGGTCAAAAGTGTTCGCCGAAACGGTTTTTCGTGCTTCTCTTTCTTTTTTTCAGAAAAACAATGGTGGCCTCGAAAAATTTTTCTTTTGAATATCCTGATTCTTTAAACTTGAGGATATAAAAACACTAGAAAACATAGTATATCAATCTTTGGAGGGCGTTGCTCAAGCGAGAAAAAATGCACTAAAATCGTTTCGGCGAACACTTTTGACCGCTACTGTATTATTAGGCGTAACCTGACGGATTACCCCACTCCGTTACGACAGAACGGCTCACCTCTTGTCAGTGGGTTAAATGTTTTCTTCCCACAAGCGAAGCTATAGTTATTTAGTTGTGACCTATTCCCATCGACGAGTTCAAAATAGAGATTGACTGAAATAATTTCGTAGATCCTGGACGCAGACCGTCGCATATTCCTCTCATATTTCTCTGACAGATTCGATTTTTTGCCTTTATTATATCTATTGGGATTGCTCGCGAACCAACTTCTTTCTCTTAACTACTGGGCGATCAAG